GATAACAACACAACAGGCCATGTTACTGCACATCAGTCTCTAACAGGGGATAACAACACAACAGGCCATGTTACTGCACATCAGTCTCTAACAGGTGATAACAACACAACAGGCCATGTTATTGCACATCAGTCTCTAACAGGTGATAACAACACAACAGGCCATGTTATTGCACGTCAGTCTTTAACAGGAGATAACAACACAACAGGCTGCATCATTTATCAGATTTCAGGGTGATAATATCACATGACTTAACAAAGCAGACAAAACGTCAAGATTTTGTTCAGAAGTCTGACACAAGTTTATCAAATCCTCCGACTAGATCTCAAGGTTGCTCAAGGACCTCAACATAAGGAATGTCTGTGATGCCCCTTCCCATACAGTTTAATGTACTATGTTTCAACAATAATTTTGAAGGAGAAACAGGCCATGTTACTGCACATCAGTCTCTAACAGGGGATAACAACACAACAGGCCATGTTACTGCACTTCAGTCTTTAACAGGGGATAACAACACAACAGGCTGCATCATTTATCAGATTTCAGGGTGAAAATATCACATGACTTAACAAAGCAGACAAAAGTCAAGCATGGCTTTGTTTTCCATCAGAAGTTTTGTGTGGCTATACACAACTTACCAATTCAAGCTTGGCTCTGTTTTCCATTAGAAGGTTTTGTGTTGCCAGGTACGCTTTGACCACTAGTTTCTTTACCTCCTGTTAAAACAAGTTATGACACTTTTTTAAAAGATGTTACACAATGAGTTCCTTGAGGTATTTTTCAATTATTTTTATAGGAAAAATAAATTATGCACATCCTTAATTATGGTGAGTTTGTAAACATTTATACAATTTCTATGTATAGCTCACATGGTATTAGGTGCTGTGACACTCCAAGAATGCCAAGACCAAACTTTCTTATACTTCATAGTCCTATATACCCAGAATGCTACTGGTCAAATATCATCACCCCAGGCCTCATGGTTATTCAGAACTTGTTAAAATGTTTTAATAAGCTCTTAGCCCCTGTGATTTAAGAAGTTTGAAAGCCCTCAATCTCTGCAAGATACTGACCAAATATGACCTCCCTTAGTGTCTCGGTTATTGAAATGAAGTTGTGTAAGGTTTAAACAAATTTGAAACATTTGACCTTGAAAATGAGTAAACCGGTGACCTTGAAAGTAAAACGTTGATGTCCTCAGATAACATATAAAACCTTTGAATTCAGTAGAAAACATTGCCCATGACATCACAGGTACCAGACTCGGCCAAACAGTGCCTTACCTCATCCATGATGTTGGATAGAGATTTGCTGTATGGCAACAATGGCGACTTTTCTGAGTAGTCGAAAGATACACATCCAAGCCTGTCATTCATTCCCCAGCTCCGAATCTGTGTGTAGGCTTGCTTCGTCACCTTATCAAGGTCATCTTGTGCACCTTTTCAAAAATAGTTCAATTCATAGTATTGTTACTTTGAATATGTCCATATTCTTCACTGTCATAGTCAATCCCTAAAACTGAATGGAAACTGTGAATACAAATACACATT